TAAATTATCTTCGCCGAAGCTGGAAAACTTAGCGTTAATTTTTCCTCTGCATAGTAGTGCGTGTGCATTCCATGTTCTCTCTCTCTCTCTCACACACACGCACGCACGCACACACACACACACACACACCATCTCATTGTCCAATATCAGCAGTACAAGAAATGTTGGAGAAATACGGCAGGTGTGTGGCGAGGAGGGAGAAAATCAGCCATTCTTAGGGCATAACAGCTGTGCTTTGCCATGCCCAGGTGCTTCCACCTGCTTCCACACACCGACTAGGGCCCCAGGTGTGTAGAAGCACACCTTAGGCCTCCCAAGAACCTCCCTCGTGCCAGTCTTCCTCAGAGATGGCACCCATCCAGGACATCTGTGGCCCTGGTCTATTTTCAGCTGGGCCAGAGTTTTCAAGTCACCCATGGAGAGATCATTCAAGATTGTATTTCTCATCTCTCCCACTTGACATGAGTTGTCTCAAGGCCACAAAACACTTGTTCATTTCACCTGCCTATTCACAGAAACACTTTTTGACCTCATTTTTTTGCTTAAAAAAAAAAACACAAAAAACCTGTAAGTGACTATGCAGTGGGCCTCCTCTGTAGAATGTTTGTAAAAATGACTTTGGATGGAGAATAAAGAAACAGCTCAGGTCCAGATCCCCTGGCCAGGTTGCTAATGCATTGCTCTGGGTCATTTTTCATGTTTGTGAACTAGCAATGACAGACCTTTCCCCTGTATGCCTGCTGTAAAGGAAAATAAATAGTTGAGCATGCCAGAGTGAGGGCATCTGGGAAATTATTGATCCGAGAATCCTGCTATAAGCTGATAAATGACTCCTAAAATTCTTAGTCAATAATATTATTAAAGGTCTTCTTTCTCTCAAGTATTAATTACACAAATTATAATGACAGACAAGGACAATATGAAATATTCTGCAAACGGACTGTCATATGTTCCAGTTCTTTGGATATTTTTAATATATCTACCATTGAGAGAGATGTGTCTGGATTTCAAGGGGTGCCACAGAATCGATTCAGTGGGCCACTATAATGAAAGAAAAAGGAAAATAACAATGCAACATAATGAAACAGAAGGAAAGCATCTGAAGGCAGCACGCGTGATAAGGATTGTTTTTCTGTGAAACTGAGTGTTGAAAGTGTGTGTGTTTTCCTCATGGGTTATGGTTTAAAAATTTGAAAGTCCCTGGATTACAGAGTGCAAGAGATCTGTTCTCTAGTGCCAAAGTGAGAAAGATAATTCGGGACATGGATGCCATCACTGTCAACCAGGGTTGCAGTTGACCCCTTTCCCAGCTCTTCCACGGCAGATAAAGAGATGTGAGCAGAGCCATTGGGGGCACATGGCAGCCTGGGGCCCATGGCTCTGTTTAAAAAACAGTTATCTCAGAGTCTGGCAACATGGAAATCAAAGCAATCTGTATTTGATTTCCAAGTCTGCAAAACAAGTTCCCACAAGCTAGTGGCTTCAGACAATATCCATTTATCATGTCACAGTTCCCGTGGATCAGAAATCTGGATCAAAGTGGAGCTAGGTCCTGTGTCTGGGGTCTCACAAAGCTGAAATAGGCTGCAGCTGACCGCTGCAGTGGTTAATCTTATGAGCAGGATCCCAGACACCCCAGGAAGGGCTGGTTGTCTTAGAAGATCTTCTGGCGCTAATGTTAGAACTAGCAGTTAAGACGTTTCCAATGCACAGTGCCTGATCCTGATTCCAGTTTCTTGCCAACGCGCACCCCAAGAGGTAACAGGTGATGACTTTAGTAGCTGGGTGCCAGCCTCTCACCTGGGAGACCATGACCGAGGTCCTGGCTTATGACTTTGGCTTGACTCAAACCTAGCCTCATCCAAAGAAGGCACTTGGGGTTGAAAACCAGTGCGTAGAGATGTTGCTGCTAACCTCCTCTCAGCTCTCATCCAGTATATATTTTTAGCTTGTTCTGTTTTGTTTTATGGTTGAGAGGGACGCATACCTATGTGGACCACCCAGTAGGGTGGGGAGGGTCGAGGGATGGGGGAAAATGGAGAAGACAATTGCTTCAATTCTTCTTTTTGTTTCCTGTATCTGGGAAAGTGGGGAGAGAAGGGAAGAGGATAGCTCCCAGCAGCCCAACCACATAAGTACCCGGAAATGGGAGATGGCCACCAGATGTAATCCCTGGGTCCCTGATATGGAGCATGCTCTGAGGGTACTGCTTCAGTGGTTTTGATAGTTCTGAGATGCTGCTGATTTCATTGCTCCAAGGTTGAGGAAATCCTTGCAAGGTCTACTTGCCGACATTGTTTACCTTAGAGTCTCGATTTACCCAGATAGTTGCTGTCAAAGCTTGACCAAGGGAACTATCCAATTTGTCCTGCCTTTCTTGGTACTAGACATCCTCTGCAGGCCTCAATGACCCAGGTCTCACATGCTCCAGCAGGTGCTAGAACTTAGCTGGTACTGTCTGACTCCCCAGCCTTGGCCTTTGTGTGTACCGGTGGATGTTGCAGTCCGGTCTGCCCCACACTCAATTCTTGGGTGTATTTGTGGGTGCTACACCCTGGACCAGCCCAGCCTGTTCTCATCTCCAGTTCCCACAAGTGTTAGTGAGTTCCATGCTCAGTCTGTCACCACCCCCAGTCCTTGAGCAAACCAGGTGATATGGCAGTCCCACAGGGTTGAGTCCACCAATGCTCTACAGAATCTGCTCCCAAACCTGGCTTTCTCGCATGCCAGCTAGTGTTTCAGACCGCCTGATGTGGTCTAGCCCTGTGCTGACACTCACTGGTGGGTACTGTGGTTGAGCCCTGCCAGGTAGCCCCTGGCATCCATGGCTTTTGTGTATGCTGGTGGGAGATGGTGATATCAACAAACCCAGCTCAGGACTCCTATGTGGATGAATGTATTGGTCTGGCTCTGCAAGGTCCTCCAGTTTTCCTCTTTTAAACCACTCGGTTTCAAGCTCCCTTGTTTACCCACAGGTGCAGTAGCCTGGTTGGTGGAAGTCCTCCACAAGTCACTCCTCACCTATCACGTTCTCCCTCAGCAGTCTTCCCTCCCATACGTCTCCAGATTCATTTCTCCGAGCAATCCACAGCCCGCCTCATGCTCATGAGCATGCAGACCCCCAAGCCCAGTCATCCGGTGCTGTGTCATGCCGTCCTGGAGCTCTGCCCATCTACCCGGAACCCACATACACCCTGAAGGCTAAAGTCCTGGGTCCTCAGCTAAGCTGCTGTAGTTTTATGACTTGATTTTGGAACTCAAACTGAGCAATGACAGTCAAGCTACTGCATCACATTGAATGTTCTGTTCATCTTTCTCTTCTGCATACTTATTACTGAACTTCAGCTGTGGATTTTATCATCAAAAGAGCAAAGTTTCATTGTTTTCTTATCTAATAATGTATGCTGGCAATAGATCTACTTTGCAACTTTTTGAATCTTTTTGAATCTTTTCATTCATTGTGTAATCAATAAGGTCAAACGTTGTGATTAGGAACCCCTGAGAAAGAAAGCATGGTTATTTATATGCCACAGAGACGGTGGTTTGCTCAGGTGAGAGTGGAGCTGGAAATAGAGACAAGGAAATTCAGAGTGGTCCAGGAAATCAGAAGAATCCCCAGCTATCACTTTGTTTTTAACACCTGCTCTTATCATCTTTTTTATACAAAAATTTATTCTGGGGACTAGCAGAAATGTTATAGTAGGTTAGAAGTCACTAACATGATAAAATAAATTGAGGATCCCTAATTCAAAACATGAAACTCAAAATACTCCAGATTCAGAAACCTTTGACATCCAACACAGTGTTACAGGTAAAAAACTTCCAGCATGAAATTTTGCTCTAAGCCCCAAATGTTTAAAAAAATACTATGAAATTACTTTCAAGTTAGGCGTCTAAGGCATACAGGAAATACAATGGAATTTCATGTTTTGATTTTGGTCACATAGCCAAGAAATCTCATTATGCATATGCAGACATTTCCAAATCTGAAAACAATCCAAAATCTGAAACACTTTTGATCACCACAATTCAGAAATGGGACACTCAATGCGTATTGGTAACATGGCTGCCATCAGCATCAAATCCCCTAACATGTCTAAATATCTCTAATTTTAAAAGTTGTTTCATGTTTAGGAAGACAGAAAAAGGAGAAATGGAACATGTTAAGGATGAGGAGATGAAAAAACTCGATGGGAGACAGAATGCAAAAAAAGAGCTCATTTTGGTGTAAAGCAATCTGAAATCCAGGCAGACTTTTGTCATACTCCACATTTTCCGTTGAATATTTTGGAAACTCTTTTGTATGCAATGATTTTAATATTTTCTGCACCAGTAACAATTATCTTTTCATTCTGTTTTCTGCAAGTGTTTTGGAGCCTCCTGGTACTTAGAGGTTCTGAAGATTTTCTCCAGTGCTAAGCTTATTCAGTGCAGAATCTCAGACCTACGCCAGGCCCATGGATCAAAATCTGCTAGAAGCTTTTTATGGGGCCACAAGCAGAAAAATTGTGGGTGGCACTGAGCTGGCTGACAGACTGACTTGCTTGCTCCAGAGCTCATCAAACCACACACAGAATGTCTAGGTGATTCAGAGGTGAACAGTCTTGGCTAACGGGGCAACACAGAACCGGAAATAAAACGTAGTGCTAAATGCTTCCTGACTTACAAAACTAATAAAAAGAACAGGATACAGAAGATAAATAGATTGCTTAAACTGATGATGACCTGTGTGACAGCATAATTTGACCATAATAACAGGCTGATTAATACAGTGCTTATTTTTTGCAATTGTTCTAATTTTTTTTTTTTGATTTGTATATGAAGACTATGAGTAGAGAAGAAATGTTCAATATCATGATGCCAACTGGAGAATTTATCCAGGTCCAAGTCTCATCTGAGGGATGTCTCACATTTAAAACGTTCTATTGGCCACTTGTTTTCCATCTGAGAGAGCGGGGCCCACTCCCTAGACATCCCGGATCCTTAAGATCCGCTCTTACCTCTTGTGGTTGTTGATACTGCGAGGCCAGGACCAGGAAAGCCCGCTGAGCCTGGAAAGCGCTGTGTACCATTTCTGCCTGGGAACAAAGCAGAAGGTGACAGCTTCAGTGTTCAAGTTCTCTCCCCCCAAAAAAGTCACCACCGGACTCAGTGATTCCTCCCGCTAGGGATATTCCCGTGATAAAACAAAGCATACACCCACACAAAGCTTGCCCACAAAGGCTCATAGCAGCCAACACGTGCAAGCAAGCCGAGTGCCGCTCCCCCATGGATGCGATGGAGCCACACAAGCAAACACGACTCAGCACTAAAAAGACACGATGGACTGACTGTGCCGCCGCACAGATGAAGCTTGAAAACATTATGCTGAGGGAGGGAAGCCTGCCACAAAAGGGCGCATTCGTATGATCCCATTTGTAGGAAATGCCTGTAATAAGCATATCTACACAGACAGAAAGATCAGCGGTTGCTAGGGAGGAAGGGGAGGGTGGTGGCGGGGAGGGTGACCGCTGATGGGTGTGTGCTTTCTTTCGATGATGATGAAAATGTTCTGGAATTAGTGATGACGACATCACAGCACGGTAGCTACACGGAAGACCACTGAGTTGCCAACTTTTAAAATGTTAGGCATGTGAACGCTAACTTAATAACGCTGCTAAAAAAAATAGGTGGGCCCCGAAGTGCGGTTATTTTCAAAGGCTGATTCTCTCCGGGGCTTGCTGTTCTCTTCCTTCACCTCATCTCTAGCTAGAGTTCCTGCGATGATTCAGTGAGATAGATTAGGCAGAGGCTTTTGAAAAAACGCTGCTTGGGTCCTCCGTGGGACTCCAGCCTGTCATCAAAATCATCTGTGAGCGTGCTGTGCTCTCAAACACATAGTCTCCCATCTTTGCCTTCGACTCATTCCTGTTTCTTGTTCTAAGCTAAACACACACACAGCAATGTGCCAAAGAGGCAAATAAGCTGAAATATACACATAATCCAGAATTAACAATTATTTGCACCGTTGTTGCTGGTTTTTAAGAAAATTCAGTAATTTTCACAAGGTATATTGATACAGAATATTTAATGCAGAAAGTTTCAATAACGAGAGTTTAAAAAAAAACCCAAAATTTCTCAGGTCCAGCACCATGGCCTAGCGGCTAAAGTCTTCGCCTTGAACATTCCAGGATCCCATATGGCCGCTGGCAGCTCCACTTCCCATCCAGCTCCCTGCCTGTGGTCTGGGAAGGCAGTCGAGGACGGCCCAATGCTTTGGGATCCTGCACCTGTGTGGGAGACCTGGAGGAAGTTCATGACTTCTGGCTCTGGATCGGCACAGCACTGGCCATTGTGGCCACTTGGGGAGTGAATCATCGGACAGAAGATCTTCCTTTCTGTCTCTCCTCCTCTCTGTAATCTGACTTTGTAATAAAAATAAAAATATCTTAAAAAAATTTCTTACACCAAAGATGATGATTATCAACATTAGATGATGTCATTGCAATCACTGCTTTAAAATATGTGCAAGGGGCCTGGTCTGATGGCTCAGTGGCTAATTCCCCACCTTGCAAGTGCTCCGGGATCCCATATGGGCGCCAGTTCGTGTGACAGCTGCTCCACTTCCCATCTAGCTCCCTGTTTATAACCTGGGAAAGCAGTAGAGGATGGTCCAAGGCCTTGGGGACCCTGCACCCATGTGGGAGACCTGGAAGAAGCTCCTGGCTCCTGGCTACAGATCAGCTCAGCTCTGGCCATTGTGGGCACGTGTAGAGTGAATCAGCAGATGGAAGACCTTTCTCTTGTCTCTCCTTCTCTCTGTAAATCTGCCTTTCCAACTAAAATAAATAAATCTTAAAAAAAAAAAAAGGGATGGGGGGGAATCCCAGTGCCTATAGAACCGTGTCACATAATACAATGTAATTAAAAAATATATATAATAAAAAAACCCACAAAAAACAAACAAACAAAAAAAAAAACCCCTGCAGATTAAAAAAAAGACTTACAGAATGGGGCTATACCTAGGTGCTAGTTTTTAAAATAAAAAACACATTTTAACTAGATTGAATAGTAGAGATGAAAAAGAACTGTTGTTAGGTAAAGAAAATTCTCTGTATTAGTAGTAGTTATTATGTTTTCAATGACCTAAGATAAAAAATACATAAAATGTCAAAAGGCTGGAATTACGTACTTGCATTGTATGAAAATAATAATTTTCTTAAAGGCAGACCTACTGAGAGAAGGAGAGACTGAGAGAAATTTTACATTGACTCACTCCCCTCAGTGACCGCAATGGCGGGAGCTGAGCTGATGCGAAGACAGGAACCAGGAGTTTCTTCTGGGTCTCCCATGTGGGGGCAGGGTCCCCAGGCTTTGGACCATCCTTGACTGTCCTCACTGGTCAGAAGCAGGGATCTGGCTGGGACGTAGAGCAGCCAGGACATGAATTGATGCCTGTATACAACGCTGCCTCTGAAGGCAAAGGATTAGCATATTACACCATGGCGTCAGCCTACCCCCCCAAGTTATAATTTTAGGTAATATTTGTTGATTTCCCACTGGGAAAGATGAGAACAGAAGTACTCCTACATTTTGCTGTCTCTTATGCTTGATTTTCCATTTCTTTTGGTTATCATTTTCTTTAACTGATAACATTCATATACAGTCTACAATATTAGTTTAGTAATACTTCATGTAAACCACCCTTGTGGTTTAAATAGCTTCTGCATTTCCCCACTGTTTTAATATATTTTCAAAGATTTATTTTATTTATTTGAGAGAGAACGACATTTGCTGGTTATTTCCCCAAAGGCCACAACACTCAGAGTTGGGCCAGGCTGAAGCCAGAAGCTGGAACTCTATTTGGGTCTCCCACGTGAGTGGCAGGGGTCCAGGCACTCGGGCCATCTTTCGTTGTTTTTCCATCCATATTATCAGGGAGATAATACGCAAAGCAGAGCATCTGGAAAAGCAGCCAGTACGCATATCCAACCAGCAGGCTATAGCTTATCCTGCTCTGCTACAGTGCCAGTCCCCCGGTGCATTGTTAATTGGCTGAACTCTCTGTGTCTAGCATTCTCTTCAACAAGATCTTGATTGTCCCAGGTTTGCGCATGTCCTCCTGTTGTCTACTGACCCGTTCCTGGGTCTCTGTCCTCTGTTTTCGGAGAGGACACAGCTGTGAAGATGCCTGGACTGAGTGTGACATCTCCTCGCAGGAAATCGACTCCTCCTGGCTTGACATCTCAAGAATTATTCGTTTGTCCTCGGGGGCTGACAGCTTCACTGAGCCATGTTTTGGTTTTGAGCATTCTATATCCTAGTCCCTAAACTACATCCCAGCCTTTTTTCCTTTCTGGGAAATTGTCTTATTACATCTTCCAATATAACTTCTGTTCCATGTATAAGCTTATTCAGAGACTCCAATTACTATCCTCCTATTGTATAATATCAGAATGCCTTTGTATCTTTTAGCTTATCTCTGTCTTAGTTTTCATTGTCATCTGTATTCACTACCCATTTTAGGAACACTTCCGCCCCTCACTACCGGCCTCCCCCCAGTTGCTAGCAGATTTTTCTACTGGCCTCGTATGCAGTGTTTCTAAATTGTCTCTCTCATTTCCATATTACTGTTTTTGGTCCTTGTTAGAATTTCTGTTTCTTTTTCTTTCCATTCATGTGTTACATCTTCTTGTCTTTAAACTCTTTTAAACTCTTTAACTTTGGAGGGTGCAAGTTGCCCCTCCCTTATTAAACCATTGTGAAGATTTTGCTTTTTCTTTTGTTTAAGTTCCGTCTTCCCCAGGGGTGAGCAGTGTTTTTCTCCTTTGCGTGCTGGTTCCTACGATCTGTGGCTGCCATGACTTGTCAGCTCTGCCTAGATATTTTAACTCTGATAAAACGTAGTCAATCCTTGAGACTTCTGGCAGCCCTATTGGAAATCAGCGTCTTCTCTTTCCCGAGCAGAAGTTTGGGATCTAAACAGCCTGAGACAGAACCCAACGTGGATCTGCCATGTTGGTGGCGGGGCCTGAGCGCTGGAGGTTCCATCGGTTGCCTCTGGTTGTGCACATCAGCAGGAAGCTGGATCGGAAGAGGAGGCACTGCGGTTTGAACCAGGCACTCCCCTAAGTGATGCAGGTATCCCAGGAGGCTTCCTACCTGACACACCAAAACTCTGTCACTACTACACGTCTATGTCTCTCTTGGTGCCGCTTTTCCGATTCAGCGACTGTATTGCTCAAAACGCTCCAACTATGAATATTCCTTGGAGAACAGAGGGATTCCGAATTTCATTGCATGAAATTCGTTATGAACTTGAGAATGTGAAGCTAGCTCTGAGCAGCCTGTCTTACCATGTATCAAAATACACATTTACATAGATTTAGAAGGACTCATATATGGGGTATATTATACATTATATTCATATACAATGTCCACGTTTTACAGAAAACGCCAAAATACAACTTTCCACAATGTAGCTAAAAATAAAGTACAGTTCCCCGAGCAATCACTGTGCACAGGCATCAGCTGCCTTGGTCCAGGCCAAGCGCTGCAGAGCCCAAGGAGTCATGGTTGCTATGGGAATTATGACTTCTGCAGTTAAAACTGCAGCTTGGCGAGGTGGCATGAGCAACATTTTGCAACTATCCCAGGATGAACACTATAGTAGCTCTCTCTCTTTTTTTAAAAAAAACTTTCCTTAGTAACAACATTTAGCCTGTCACTAACGGAGCGATTTTCTGGCAGGCCTGATTTCACTAATTAGTCTTCCTCCAAATGGGTCTTTACCCAACAATAGGGTTGAGGTTGATGTGGCAAAGGCTGAATGCCTAGAAGTCTGTGCCCTTTTCATGTGGTTTCTGTAGACACAGCCTTTCTAAGGCTCGGCCTGCACCTCTCTCTTTTTAGCTCTATGGAAATCTGGGCCTAATTGGTAAACTCCAACCTGCCTTCACTTTCAGCTCATCAATCCACATATTGAAGGATGTTTATTCCAACTTGAGATGTTCTGATCCACTTGCTCTCCCTTCTGGAAGGTTCCATGAGGCCCCTCCACCAGACAGCAAGCGGCTTAGGAGCAACTTTATTGAACTTG